CCCAACCCAAACCCAGCATCATATATCATCGACTCTAACTCCCAGCAACCCAACAGAATAGAGACCCACAGCCCCACAGGATTTCCAAGCCTCTGTTCTTTACAGAAGTTCACTGCTACATCTTTCTCCCACAGAGCAGTTTGTGGGTTCAAGATGCCAGTGTTTCAGTTAGCAGATGAATGCTTTAACCACCATACAACCAGGGGTCCTATTGTTAGAAACAAAACGAACTTATGTTAAACTCTTGGTAACCCTCCATTGGATTTCTGAAACTATAAATCTTAATGAAAGGAGATTCTTCATCTATTTCCTGCAGAGTGGTTATGGGTTTGCACTGTCAATCTTTCAGTATTAAAATAGGCTCAATACTGAAACTACTACATCATGAGGGCTCCTTCGTTATTGTTGTTGTTAGGTACTGTTGCATCAACTACAACTCATAGTGATCCTATGAAACACAAACCTGATCCTTATCCTGTCCAGGGCCAGTCTTGCCATCTCTGATAGGTTCCATACCACTGTTATAGTCACTGTCTCAATCCATCCTATTGGAATTTTCCTCTTTCTCTGAGACATTTTCCTACCTCATTTTCCAAGGACCAGTCCTTCCTGACAACATGCCCAAAGATTCATGTGAGATGAAGTTTCACCATCCTTGCTTTCCTCTAAGGAGCACCCAGGTTGCATTTCCTCCAAGACAGACTCATCTTCTGGCAGCCCATGGGACATTCAGTACATCCCATGGGACATTCAGTACATCCCATGAGACATTCGGTACAGCCCATGGGACATTCAGTACATCCCATGAGACATTCGGTACAGCCCATGGGACATTCGGAACTCCCCTCGACAGTTCAACAGTAGCAGTTCTTCTTCTGTCATTCTTCTTCACTTGTTGTTTGTTGTTATGTGCTCTTGAGTTGCTTGCAACTCATAGCAACCCTATGTGCAACCCTGAAACCTGCTGCTATGCCAACTTTACTGTCTCCGGCACACCTACCCTCATTACCCCAGTCACTGAGTCAATCCATCTCATCGAGGGTCTTCCTCTCTTGAGTTGTCACCCTCCCAACCATAATGTCCCTCTCCACGGACCGGTCCCTCTTTGCAACATGTCCAAAGTATGTCAGATGAAGCCCCAGAATCCTTGCCTCCAAGGAGCAGCCTGGCTTCACCCTCTCTAAGATGAACCTGTTTATTCTCCTAGCAGTCTATGGTATATTCAACACTCTTCTCCAGCACCACAGCTCAAAGGCATCAATTATCTTTCTATCATCCCTAGTCATTGTCCAGCTCTCTGATGCAGAGCAAGCAATTGAGAAGACTATGGCCTGAATCAGGTACATTTTAGCCTCTTGGCTGGCATTGCTGCTCTTCGGTACTCTGGAGAGGTCCCTGACAGCTGACTTTCCTAATGCAATTCGTCTCTTGATTTCCTGGCTGCTGGTACCAAGAGTGTTGATTGTGGAGCAAAGTAAACTAAAGCTATTAACAATCTCAATCTCTTCACAGTCCATCATGATGCTGCTAATTGGCTCAGTGGTGAGAATCTTTGTTTTCTTGATGTTGAGGTTCAATCCATATTGAAGACTCCAGTCCTTGATCTTCTGTAGCAAGCACTTCAGGTCCTCCTCAGTTTCACAAGCAGGGTTGTGTCATCTGCATAACGCAGGTTGTTGATGGATCTTCCTCCAATCCTGATGCCACATTTCTCCTCATACAGCCCAGCCTCTGAGATGATCTGTTCTGCATATAGATTGAAAAAGAATGGAGACAAAACACATCCCTGGTGTATGCCCTTCCCGATTTTGAACCATGCAGGGTCTCCTTGTTCTGTTCTGATAACTGTCACCTGGTTCAAGTTTAGGTTTCGCGTTAGTACAGTCAAATGTTCTGAGATTCCCATTTTTCTCAGAGTCAACCACAGTTTGTTGTGATCCACACAGTCAAAAGCCTTTGCATATTCAATGAAACACAGATAGACTTTCCTCTGGTTATTCACTTAGAAATTAAAAATGTGGTTTCCAACACAAAACATTCCTGTTTGCTGCAGGGCAGAACTGCTCTCCATAGATTTTTACAGCTACCACTGCTCAGAAGCAGCTCCTTTGAAATGCCTGTGGTGGGGATTCTAACCACCAAACCTCAAAGGTGGCAACTAAGCAGTTAACTATACCATCCAAGGATTCCTACTGTAAGACTAGAGTTGGCCTCAAGGCTGTCTCTACACACTGCAGAACCTCCTTGGTTTAGGTGTATTGGAGAAGACACCCCAGGACCAAATAGCCACAGTCATAAAGATAATGACTGTCTTAGTTGGTGAGTTCATTCGTTCGCCTAGCCATATGATGAGACTCTTTGCTCTGCTGCCCTTGATCTGCTCAGACGTTGCTATCTTGAAAGTTCACTGACCTGCTTTTTGTTTCCTCCTCTTTCCTAAGAGAAATCTTACAGGAGATCCAAAGGCTGCGACTGGAGCACGAGCAGGCCTCTCAACCCACCCCAGAGAAGGCGCAGCAAAACCCCACCCTGCTGGCTGAACTTCGGCTTCTCAGGTAAGAGAGGGACCCACGGAACCCCAGGGACGTGTGTGCTGGAGATCTGCGGTGATGCCGAGCCTGTAATGGTCCTCAGCCAGCCTTTGCTCTTGGTGTGTGTTCGCTTGTGTTTTCAGATCAAAGCTCATTGCCCTTGAGTTGGGACTGACTCACAGCCGACCCTCCAGTGGGTTTTCAGAGGCTGTAAGTCACATGAGAAGAGATCGCTCCTCCTTCTCCCACAGTCCAACTGGTGGCTTCAAGCCATGTGCCTTCGGGTTGGCAGTGTAACTCCTTACCCATTTAGCCACAAAAGCACACTCTTAATGGCTGTGACTGGAGGGAGCAGTGTTTCTATTTTAATCTTTTATTTGATACAGAGGAAACAAACTGGTAATATCTAGGTAATAATCAATCCCTCTCACTGTATGAAATTTGAACACTTTTTGGTTATCTGGACTATCATCAGTGGGTTTATGACACAAATGATCAAGAAAACTAACACGCAAAAAACCAAATGACTTTATTAAAGTTCTAAAAGCTAAGTAACAGATTTTTACATCTTAACATTTACCTGAAGCCTCATGAAGAAGAATCTGAATATTTTTTAAAAAATCTTTATTCCTGGTCACTCTATATCAAAATCTGGAACATGTAGACCTCTTAGCTTGTTTTTCTGTAAAGAAATTTAAAATATCTAGCAATGTAGTCCATAAGGAGTTGGACCTCTAACCCAAAAGCCACTCCACTCTGGGGGTTCGAATCTACCAGAAGCTCCATAGAAGAAAGATGGACAGTTTCCTTCTATAAGATTTACAGCCACGGAAATCCAATAGAGGGTCAACTATGAATCAGTTCTGACTTTATGGCAGTGAATTGTGTTGGCTTGTGTAATGCTTTGTTGCCAACCAAAGGCACACAGTTCAATTCCACCAGCTGCTGCATGGGAGAAGGTTGGGCAATCTCCTCTCATCCAATTACTGCTTCTGGAAACCCAACAGAGAGTCAGCTATGGGTAGGTCTGACTCAACAGTACGTAACAACAGTAAAGGGCCCTCTTAGCACAGCATTTTAACATACAAGGTAGCTGATAACTGCAAGGTTGATGGTTCAAAACCACAACCACTACACAGGAGAAAAGAAGACCTGGTGATGTTCTCTTAATAAAGATTTCAGCCTAGAAAACTGTCAAGTAGTTAGTTCTACTCTGTCCTACAGAGTCACTGTGAGTCAGAATCAGCTCAAGAGTTCACAACAGCAGTGTTGTCTGATCTGTCACAGTGAAAGACCGGCATGAGAAAGGACCATAGAAGGCCTTCTGAGTCAGCATCTGAACTCAGTGTGCTTCGCAGAGTCAGAATCCCGAGAAGTGGCAGCTCTTAGATGAGGACTGTGTTCATCCTGCAAGATGAAAGCCTTGTATGGGTTCTGGGTCAGACTGACTTAGCCACATGCCCTGAATATGACAGGCACTTAAGCATATTTGTCTATAGTTAACAGCTCCTAAATTAGCTCTAAAACATCCCTTCATAAAAATGTCACATTGACCATTCGCAAGGTACTTTTAGTTAGCAAAACACTGTTAACTAATTGTACCTTGTACATTCTAGGTACCTAACTCTGAGTGATACTTTTTAGAATACCTACAGGTACCTCTTAGAATAATTATCTGAATTAGAGTGCCATTTTTCTTTGTCCATGCATAGACACAAATTTCTTAACTCTGTTTTTCTTTTACTAAGTCCCTATTTATTATGTTTACATAATGAACCATAGGAAATGTTTCTGGAATTTCCATTCTAATCTTGGTCTTCTGACTTGTTAACATCTTAGCAGTTTGTCTCATCTGGCACACATGCCCCTGTCTGGCTGGAATACACTCTACCTTTCTTTATGCCAGTGTATTTGGTTAGAGGCAGATCCAGCCCACTGCCGTCAAGTCCATTTCTACACATGGTGACCCTCCATCTAGTGTCCAAGGTTCTAAATCTTAGTGGAAGCAAACTGCCTCATAATTCTCTGGCAGAGGAGCTAGGAGATTCAAACTGTCAACCTTTCAGCTAGTAGTTCAACACATACCCACCATAGTTAGAGTAGCCAACCACAAAAGAGTTGATCTGTGCAGAGAAGATCTGCTGAATCTGAAGCTTTGAGAAGGTGATCAACATGAAAATATTCTTTAATACCTTTGTTGTTGTGAACCAACCCAGAGCTGACCCTCCAGCAGATTTTCAGAGGCTGTTAATCTCATGGGAGACTGTCCATCTTTCTCCCATAGAACAGCTGGTGGCCTCGAACTGCATGCCTTCAGGATTGCAAAGCAGCTTCTTGCCACTAGGCCACCAGAGCTTCCTATTAATACTGTTAGATAATATAATAGTTTAATGGAAATGTTCACCTTTCCCAAACTGTGTGATTTCTGTCTGCATTCTAAAACATTCAATCACAGAGAAGGAATAGAAACGTGGGAAAGCTGGCAATTATGTTTCATAGCCTCCTCCTTATCGAGGATGTTTGAGTTGAATGCTTGTTTGATGCCATCTACTGCAGTTCTGCGCCACCTCAAAATCAGTGCAGTATTTGAGGCCAGTGTTGCAGTCAGTCACTGAATCAATTCATCTCACTGAGGGGCTTCCTCTTTTTTCCTGACCATCTCCCATGTCAAGCACACTGTCCTCCAGAGACTAGCCCTTCATAATAACATATTCAAAGTGTATGGATGAAGTCTCACCATTCTTGCTTCTAAGGAGTCTAGCAATACTTTTTTCTAAGACAGATGTGTTTGTTCTTTTGGCAATCCGTGGGATAATTAGCGTTCTTTTTCAGCAACATAATTCAAAGGCACCAATTCTTCAATCTTCTTTACTCATGTCCAGCTTTTATATGTATGTGGAACACTTGAAAATATACCATGTTTTGGGTCAAGTGTCCCTTAATCCTCAAAGTGATATCTTTGTTTATTTTAACACTTTAAAAGAGGTCATTTGTAAAGGGAGCTCTGGTGGCTTATTGGCAAGAAGCTGCACTGCAATCCCGAAGGTGTGTGGTTCGAATCCACCAGATGCTCCACTGGAGGAGGAGGGACCATCTCCTCCTGTGCCAGTCGAATCTGATTTGACCATGCACAACAAAGAGGGGGAAAAAAGGTAATTTTCCCACATAGTCTGTCGTTTCATTTCTCAGCTGCTATTTCCATGGGCATTGATTGTGAATCCAGGTAAAACAAAATGCTTAAAAGTCAATCTCTTCTCCATTTATCATGATGTTGAGTTTTTTGTTCTGTTACAAAGATTGTTTTCATTATGTAGAAGTCTAACCCACATTGAAGTTGATAGTGAGAATGCCTCTTTGAAAATTCTGTTTGACCAATAGAGTCTTTGCAAATGCTCCGAACTCACAAGTTGAAAGATAAGCCTGGTATACATGTAAGTAGAATTGAATAAACCAGCTTGGAGATAGTCATTCTTCTACATAGTGGGCTGCCTTCTGCCTAACTGAAATGTCTCTACCACTCGCATTGGTTGGCCCATTTTTTTCCAGTATGGAAGAATTCTTTTGTTAGCATTTTAGTGGCTTCCCTCTAGTCAGTAATGGTCTTCAAATTAATCCAGTTACATTTTGGATTGTAAAGTCTGGGAAGTCTTCTCAAAGTTCCTGAATCACTGATGATGAGTTTTCCGGCTCATATTTCTTCCCTTCTCGATGTTGCCTTGTTGAAACAGACATAATTCTAAGGCTTCCTGGCTTTGATTTGTAGACATGCGAGCCACCTAGAAGAACGGAGCCTCTCTCTTTCCTTCAGGGACCCCACTAAGCCTACCTCTACACTAGAGGAGCTGGCTCTGGAAGCCCTCTTGGATTTTTACCTTTCACTATCATCATCTGACAAATGGCCATGTTGTCAGGAGGGCCAGCTCTTGGAAAAAGACATCATGCGTGCAAAGGTGAAGGGTCAGCATACGATAAGAAGACCCTCAACCAGATGGGTAGACACAGTGACTGTAACAATGGGCTCAAGTCTATCAGAACTGAGGAGGATAACCCAGGATAGGGCAAAGTTCAGATTGTTTCTAGCATTACTAGGAGTCACAGTCAAACTGATGGCACAACACTCAGCTTCCGTTGCTGTTGTTGTTCTATATGTACATTAGAGTCAGGTATGACTCATAGTGACCCCATGCACAGATCTGAACCCTATTCTGTTCTGTCATCACCTCAGTCACTGAGGCTACTCTGAGGTTAAAGCTAGCTTAAAACCCACAGCTCTCAGTGACAAATCTCTACATCCTTCCACATTCCAAACATTGTTTCCATTTCAACACACTTGAGCCCATTGTGCAGTCACTGTGAATCCTCTCATTGAGGGTCTTCCTCAGTAATTCGAATCCACTGGTAGCTCCATAGAAGAAAGTCGGGCAGTCTTCTTTCATAAAGATTTACAAATACTGAAATATTATAGATCTGATAAGTCCAGGTTCCGTTTTCAGCCAATGCACCATCTGCTTTGATATCATCCATCTGTCATGAAAGCATGTGATCATTAAAGCACGCATGCATTTTTCAAATCCAAGGTCTAAAACATTAAACTCAGATGGCTTGGAGGCAAAGAGAAGATGTAGATATCATTCGCAAGTGGCCATTAAATAATGCATCTGAATTTGCTTTGGAAAACATATGCATAGTTATGACAAAAGTAAGCTATTAATATTCTAATCCATGTTTTTCATTTTCCCCCCATTTAAAGATAATTTTGTACATTCTTAGTGTGGGCATAAATGATAGATTATAAAAAGTCTTTTATGGTTTCCATTTTTTGCTGACAGTTTAATAGAAGTTTTGGAAAACAAAATGAAGCACAAACCCTGTAGATCATTTTCCAATGTCAAATAGTAGTACAGAAATGTCTTTATTCTCACTTCATCTAATGAACCTAATCCCAAAACAAAATATTTAGACTTATTGTGTTTATTGTTACTATTTTACCTCAGAAAAAAAATGTACCACTTTGTATACTAAGAATGAAAGATATTTAAATGTACTTTTCTTAATCAGATCTCCAAAAACTAAGATAATAGATATATTTTGTGATACTTCTAAAAGGACCCTTGAGTTTGAAGTATCTGTAGCATTGGCCTTGTGTGACGGTGTGGGTTTTGTTAATAGTCTATGGAGAATCCATGGCCCAGCACTGAGCCCACTACATATTAAGCATTTAGAAATAATTCCACTGAATGATTAATTAATTAATTAATGGTTAATATCAGTTGCTGCCAAATCAAATCTGGTTGTGGTGACCTTACTTATGCATTGGCCAGTTCTGCTCCATCCTCACAACCTATGTTTTTTTTCCAAAAATTGTATGTTTAATTACATTTTTCTTTTTAATTTTTTTATATTGGTTTGCTTATAACGTTCATATACATCATATTTCACACTCTTCTTCATTCACATTGTGTTTCATACAGTCATCCTCATGCATTATGTTTTCTAAAACTAATCATCATTGGGCCTTGCCCATCATTACCCTGTCTTTTCAGGTCCCCACTGTATCCTCCTCATTTCCTTCATTCCCTCCCTCCACCCTCAAAATTGTGCAACACTGTGGTTTCACCCTTACTCATCCTCACACTTTTTCTCCCAACCCTTCTCCTCCTTGGGTCCCCGTACGTGTTTTACTAGCTATCCTTCTGTTTTTATAATAATGGTCTTATACTGTATTTGTCCTTACAAGACTGGGTTAGTTCACTCCACATAATGCCCTCCAGTCTCCTCCAAGTTATGTAGTATTTTTTGAACTTGCTGCTCCTGAGTGCTGCATAGTACTCCATTGCTCACAATCATGTCTGTAATTGAGCCCATTGTTGCAGGCGCTGTGCCAGTTCATCCCATGAAGCAGCCCCTTCTTGCATTTCCTCTGATGCCTCTTCACCAACCATGAGACCCTTTTTCAGTGACTGGTCTTTCCTGATGCCATGTCCAGAGCAAGCAAACACTGTCATCATCCTTGCTTCAGGGTTGAAGGGGAGAAATGTCTGAAAGGATTTCTATCTATTTGAGTTTTGTATGACTTCTAACAGATAAAAGCCACCTCTAGCAACAACTGTTCACTTATCTGAAAATCAGATTCCCTGCCTCTTCACTCTGTCAAAGACTCAGGAAAGACCTTTTTGCTAGTAACTGTGGAGCTCGCCTAGTTTAGGAGTAAGGAGTTGCACTGTCAACACAAAGGCACAGCCAGTTCAAATCCACCAAGTGCTCTGGGTGTGGGAGAAAGATTGGCATTCTCCTTCTCTGTGATTTATGGCCCCTGAAAACCCACAAAGGGTTCAGCTGTGAGTTGGTTCTGATTCAATGGTACATAACAACCACACAGGCTCGAACTGGCCTTCTTTTCGGCTTCTGAGAATGGTACAGGAGAAGCTTCAAGTCTGTTGGTGATAGGACCTCTGTGAGTAGCATCCACTCAAGAGCACCTAACAGCAATAATGCCACTCAAAAGAGTAGGGACTGTGATCAACTCGTTGAGATGAATGCTGTTTCTGATGAGGGTGGCTTCTTCCTCAGACAGCGCAAGGACGAGCTGGAACAGAGGATGTCTGCTCTCCAGGAGAGCCGGAGGGAGCTAATGGTCCAGTTGGAAGGCCTCATGAAGCTGCTAAAGGTAAGGCCTTTCAAACCGGTGTTTCTCAGACCCTTCAGTAAAATGGTCTAGCCTTTGTAAAATGATTGTGACCATAATGTGCAGGGGTTTCTCCAGTTACCACATGTCGTTTGTCCCAAATATTGCTCCAAACTCCAATACAGAACATCTGCAGACACAGGAGAAGGTACTGGTTCACTGTCATGGTCATTCTTTTCCCTCTCCTGGAACAAGACTGCTGGGAGCCCATGATAGCTTCTTCCTGGATTATTTCCAATTCCTTTATTCTCTTAAAAATAATAAAATGGGACTTATTTAGAACGATTTTATATTTAATAGTTTTCAGTAAATCTGATGGGATTGGACAGAGAGACGCTAAAGTCTTATTCAGAAAATCAAGCTTTAGCCATTAAATTTAATCATGTGCTTTATTAAGAACAACTCTGTTCGCTTCTGTAAACTATTTTCTCTCACCTGTGTATCATTAGTTCAAGTCATGGAGACATGTATGGGCCTCAAATACAAACTATAAAAGGAGTTTATATTCCTTACTATTCTGTAGGGAAAATGTTTCAGAAAATTACTGATAGCAGTCCTTTGCAGGGTTCTGGAAACTATCCTTTTTCATTGAGAAAGGGTATTCTTCCTTTACCTATGCTTTATCCTGTTCTCCGTAAGAGAGCAAATGCCAGTCCATGTCAAGGACAGCCATGCACAATCGAGGATCATGGTCCTCCATAGGAGGTGCCTTAAGTGAACATGCATGAACCACTATGAGTTGGAATGAGGACATGTCAAAGGCACGCAGATAGGAGAGCAATGAAGGAGCAATGGGGCAGCTCGCCTGGGCCACACTGACGGCAGAGCTTTCAGTCGTGAACCCTACGTCCCTAACGTGCCATCATCTGTTGCTGCTATCTTTCTCTCGTTATCTCTCTTATTTCTGATTTCTTTTTTCCACTTGTTCATTTTTAAATAAATATTTTCCAAAACCATGTCTGAGCACCACTATCTCATAGGTAATATTTTTGTTTTCCTTACCCTTTTTCCCGTCCGTCAACATCTTCCCACTATTGATGTTAGTCAAGGTCGACAATTCTTTTTCTTTACTGAATAAAGTTTGCTTCTCAGCATATTAGACACATAAACTATAGACTGCAGCTTTTGTTGTTGTGTCAAGATTGTAAGACAAGGCCAAATGCTGAATAACCTGCTTCTAGTTCTGGCTTCATCTCATTTGATGACCCGTTAAGACTCATTCTGTTTCCTTTGTTAAATATATCACACAAAGAGCAATGGCCATTCATCATTCCCTTCCCAAAATGGCAGAAAGCTTGGAAAAGAGCTACTTCTTGAAGCTCCTCCAGCTTCTGACCATTGCATTGGAGTGAGACTTGCCATATTGGTGGACATCTTGGCAATTTTCCCCAGCCTGTTGTATCAGAATGTTCTAACCTCAGAACAGAGAGGAGCCATATTGAAAGATAGGGACATGGAAGAATGAGATGGGCCTGTAGTCTCAAATATAAATGAGATAAACTTGGAACTGTACCCACTGAGGTGGCAAAACCTGACCTGTCCTCAAAGCCATGTTGATGTCTCCCCTTTTCTCCCTTTCATGTTATTCCCCCCACTATGTACGTCTTCTGACTAGAACCATGGGTAATCTAACTATTATCGATTCAATCTTTCTGTAGGAAGAAGAACTGAAGCAGGGAGTAAGTTATGTTCCCTACTGCAGGTCTTAACTAACAATGGAGGGGCCTGCGTCCTGCTGTTTTTCTCATTGCTTTTGCCTCTAATGTATGTTCATGCTTCAGTTTGGAAAGAAAGAAACAATCATACTAATTTGCCTCATTTTCAATGTAGTGCTTGACTGGAGATAGAAAAAATTTCACACTTTTTTCCCCATAACTGTTACTACTGTTGGCATCAAAAGAAGAGCTATTAGAACTTTTCAAAGAGGGAACAAAATTATAATGTGTTTGGAACTTTGTAGACCTCTAAGGTCTAAGTTTCAGACTGATCTCAGACCCTTCTCTGAATCAATGTCATCACCTCAGTCACTGAAGCTACTCTGAGGTAAAAGTTAGCTTAAAACCTATAGCTCTCAGAAACAAATCTCTACATCCTTTCCCACTCCAAATGTTGTTTCCATTTCAGTTTTAAAAAATGTAAAATATTATTTTCTAAAAATCAGACAATTCAGTATCTTGTTCATCAAGTAATGAATGTGCCCTGTTCTCCACTGGCCTCCCCAAGATGCTGCATCTTGTGAGAGAAGGACTGTACTCGGCAACTCCTTATTCACTTTCTGTCTTTTCTGTTCTTCCTTCCCTACCTCACATCCCCTCAAAAAGCAGAATCCCTACTATTGATTGAGAATAGTCTTTAAAGACCAGGTCACAGTTGCCTTTATCTTATCAGTAAGAACCTCTCCACTTAGGAGTTTATAAGATCCTTGCCCTCAACTTGTGGAACAGGGGGCCAATTGTGATTCAAGCAGTAAGTAATCTAGAGTGGAGCCTCCTCCCTCATTCTGTAGTCAGGTTAATAAACCAGCAGAGGGAGCAGTATACTCAAAGACATAACATGAAATCAAACCAAATAAAAGCAGCTTTCTTTTTGAGTGCATGTCTCCAAGTTGTGTATGACAATATTTAGCCCTCTGGAGCATTGTATATTTCTAAGTTTTACATTCTTTCCTTGGAGCCATCCGACCACCACCTCAAGCCTGTCCAACTTCAACGTATCTTTTGATTCCTCTGTATTCTCTTTTTCTATTACTCATTGTGTGTGTTTGTGTGTAACAAAGACTGTTTGCAAAATGCTGGACACATTTGACCTTGCATTCCCATGGTATGTAAAAAAAACAAAACAAAACAAAAAAAGGAAAGTGTAAAACCAATCTGTAATGTCCAACAATAAAGAACAATGTATTACATTCTTTTGTATTTTGTGAAAAGAATTACTTGATGAAAGTCACATTTTATTCAGAGACAATTCCTTCACCTTCCCTGGGTAGAGGAACCGGAGCATTTACAGCCTGTGTAACTGCCCATTAATGGATACGTGGGGTGTTGTTATTGTACTTCCAACACACTTAGATCATGGTAGGGGAAATACTCTCCTTACGGTGTTTCTCTTTGCAAGTTGCTTCTCTCCTTTCCTGTGGCTTACTTAGCACAGGGAGTTGCACTGGGTGGGCAATTGGTTAACACACTCAGCTGCTAATTCACTTGAAAGGGTAGTGGTTCGAGGCCACCCAGAGAAGACAGGAATGGCAATATACTTGTAATCATAGTCATTGAGAACCCTGTGGAGCCCAGCTCCACTCTGATGTGTATAGTCACCATCAGCTGGATTACCATGCGCTGGCAGCCGGCTTACTTAGCATGTGCTGGAAAAATAAAATAAGGACCAAAGACAGCTGCCTCCTCCGAGTGCAAAGAAACCATCATTCTGTAGTTGGTGGGCCTTGAATTGGCTATTTCCTTTACGGAGAGCCTTTCTTTACTATTTCCCAGGTAAGGTTCTGCAGACCAGGGAGTTGAGTTCATAAACAGATTCTTAGAGACAAACTACGCCAAGTTCCCAGAAAGCATCACCACCACTTTTCTTTCCAGCTCCTCCCTAATGAGTCCCGTCTTGGAAAGGGGACAGTAGTGGACACTGCTATATCAGCACTTAATGTTGCAATTAAATCATCTATCACCCAGATATTGTTAGTGTAACATCTGGATGGGGAGAAAGTTTGCCCATTTTCCTCATCTATTTGATATTCAAGCCTCTTTCTTAAAAAGGGCTTGAGGCGGCTTGTAGCAAGACACATAACCAGCTACTTCATTCATACAGTAGAAATAGAAAAATCAAAAACCAAGGAAACTAAAATACAGATTTTTCTCAGCATAAAGGACAAGAGTATTCCTCTGAACTTTCTAGGAACTATCAAAGTCAGTGCTTTTCCCAAAACAGAAATCATTCTCAAGGAATTAGAATTCCCCTTGGGATAAAACAGAAAACAAAGTCTTCACGTGGAGATTTAGAGAAGGTGTTCTGACCAATTAAATAAAGAAATGTAGTACAAGAGTTTATATGACTATTTCTTACACTGACTTTTAGTAAAAAAATACAAATGCCCCATAAATGCCATCCATAGAGATAGTTCTACAACAACACAAAAATGAACAAATGTCATTCAAATATATAGGTGTCTAGTGGTATAACATGATCTAAGGAGAGAATTTAGAGGTTCTAATCTGATTGTCTGCTTCTAAATTCTTTTTTTTATTTATGAGCATTTTCCCTTTGGGGATGTCATCTTTGTAAAATCTAAATTGCACCCCACACAAGAAAATGTACTTGATTTAATAACCTTTACTTGCTTTATCATAAGTCTGTGTGGTTCAATGTAGAATTTTATTATACTGGCATATATAATTTCCACATATTTTGTTTCTTGTTAGACATAATGCACGAATTTATCCCCCTTGAAGAAAGAACATGACATTAAAAAGAGAAATAGTGCCTGTAATATATGATGGTTGTGGTATCATAAGCAATAAATATTTTTTACAAAACTTGAATTGAAGTCATCCTACCCTCTTTCTTCTTTGTGTATTTCTGATATTTAATTTTTAAAAAAACCATAAATTGAACATGCATACAAAAGGTAATAATGATGCAGTGACATTAGGTCCCAGAATTTCTGGTATAATTTTATTTTCAACTATTTTGTCTCCATCTAAAACCAAGAGTCCTGGTCTTGATTTCAGAAAGTGAGTAGTTGATAATATTTTTCTTGGGAAGATGACTGGAGTTAGAGGAGCTCTTTGCTCATCACTAGGAGATTTAAAGTCTGTCAACTACCTGGCTCCTGGGGCTGTTGTGTTGACTTTAAAATAAGACAAGTGAGAATACTGTGGTTTTAAAATACTGTGTGAATATCATATGTGAATGAATGCAGATAGTAAGTGGATAGATAGGTAGGTAGACAGATATATAGGTAGAGAGAGAGGTTA